TCAGGGTTGGCAACAAATGGCCGAAGAATCTCAAAAACAATCTCACCAAAATTGACAAGTTGACCAACAAGGACTTAGTAAATCACTTTGCTCTGAAGCTCGGTAAGTTGATTTTTATTGGCCGTGGGAGTCCAATTGCAACACCAATTTTGTGAAGCAAAGTGGCAATGAGATAGAGTGAGCTTACAGGGAGATTAGAACCGAGCCAAGTCACAAGATGGTCGTCGGTTAAAACAAGGGTGAGAGTATCATGATCAACATCATGTAGAGATGGTAAATCAGAAGGCAATCCTAAATGGGCATTTATCAAAGCAGGAGAGAAATCGACAACACGATTTCTAAGGAACGCCTTATGGTAACGAGGACTGTCGGGTAAGAACACATCAGGGGTCAAATTGGCATAGAACTCTCTAATAGCTTGACTACAAAATGGTTGGAAGCAAGACACAGTAGCATATAAACCCACATTTTCAACAACCTCTTGACACAAAAGTCAACAAATTTTTTAACGCTTACGGTCCTATGTATTAGAGTATAATACCACTTGTGAATTGTCTCACATCATTTATTAGAATATAATACCACTTGTGAATTGTCCACATCATTTATACTAGGAAAATAAGCCTAACTCATAAGTCTAGTGGGCTATTCCTCCTTCCATCAATTGATTTTAGGATAAAACCTCAGTATGGTGCATTTGAGGCTCACCCTCTTATGGTATGTTTCACGTACATGAGACCGCACTCGTTTCCCTCAGTTCTTGCAAACATACAACTTTCAAAATAAAATCACAAATAAATTAATAAGTTATACATAAACAAGTCATAAATCAATAATTAATATAATTTCCAAATAAATGGAAAAATAAATCATAAATCAACCATTCATAAAAACTGAAAGTTATTGTATTTGTAACTAAAACAAGAACTTCATTACAATGCAAATAAACAGGGATTTGTCGATCAACAGCTACGTTGAACATCGTATTCTTTTGGGCTGTAGTTGGCAACGGGACATCAGCACCCAACCCAATAGGCTGCAATAGCCAAATAAGAGTTTGCAAAACAAAGTTGAGACTTTGAAAATAAAATACGAATTTCCAAAAAAAAAAATACTATTCACTATCTATTTTCATTTGTAAATCTCGCTAATACATTTTAAAAAATATTATTATTATATATTTAGTTTGAAAAAAAAGGTATTGTTCATCCACTCCGATATTAATTATTTTGCACTGGCTATGTTTTGCTTATTTTGATAACATGTGATTATTAATTATGATATTGTACAATCCATTAAGGGGCAGGTACAACAACCTGTTTGAAAGAAATGAGCTAAGCTCATAAGTATTTGTATCTCAAGACAACCAATTTTCAAACATGGATTTATCTAACTCATCCAAACATGCATTGATGTCCATCAAACAAACTTGTCTTGACATAGCTAAACAAAATTAATACAAAGCACAAAAACAAGATTGAGGCAAGATCAATCACTCGAACCCTTCGCCTATCGTACATTTGTTTTTGCGCAGATACAAACTCATCTACAAGATGACTCGATACCCTTTTTACGTTGCAACAACACACTTAGCTTTGCAATTTTGTGACCCAAAATTCCCCTTTCAACTCTCACTTTTTTTTCTTTTTTATCTTCCTTTTGGAGAATTAAAGATAGGTCCCATTTGTGGCACTAATAGACGACGTGCCTTCGATTTTCCTACTGTTCACATACTTTCCAGCTAGGGAATCGAACAGCATACCGGCCCCAACACCAACTGCCAGGTCGATTGTGTAGTGACCTCTTGTGGTTAGTAACCTCACAACTTGCAAAACATTCAAGAAGTCGAATGCGAAAGCTAACTCCCATCTTTGCATTCGTTTCATGTCTAATGACGCAATAACTGAAGCAGCCACATGACCCGAGTAGAACAGGAAAAACGAGACATTACCAACCGGAAAATCTGCACCCGAGCCCAAGAATTCCTGTATCGAGAAAATTGAATAATTTCATTCCCACTTTTTTTTGGGGTGGACAAAATTGCTTAATCTTCTCTTTTGTTTCTTTAATTGGCCGGCTTAGATTTTCAAATGCAACCAAAATGAACAAGTAGATAGGTATACATTTATACATTTCCTTGTCATGCCAGATCAAACAATTACATAATAAATATGCTGAAAACAACCAAAATGATAAGTTATTATTTATATAACACTTACTAAAAGTGATTACACAATCAAAGAGAGGTGCCCACTTGTTAAAGTTTAGATTTTTTCTTTCTTCTATACTTAATACACCCACTTCCAAGTTTTATCCCAGTTTTTACAAAGTAGTTGAACTAAGATTTAGCTAAACTTTAGGTGCACTCATAAGAAAAACCATACATGTGTTGTGGTCCAATTTCCATTTCTCTTACATTTTTTTTTTTTCTTTCTAAATTAGAATAACAATGGTGGTAAAGGTAAGTATTAGAACCGGGGGAAGAGGGCGCGGTCCTACCAAGTGAAGCGCATCATAAGAGGGTGAGCCTAGATGCACCTTAGTTAGATTCCATCCCAAATCTAGGCTCACTCTCTTATGGTGCGCTTCACCTGGTGGGATCGCGCCCTCTTCCCCCAGTTTTAATAGTAAGCTAGATAATTCATTTCTCTTATATGGACCACTCAAACTCAATCACACAATTTAACAAACTTCAACTAGTGTATACATAGTAAAATGTACTATACAAGAGTATTGAAGATGAAGTAATGAATGGGAACCTGAGGTAATGGCAGCTGTGTAGCATATCCAAGGATTCCCCTGCACGTGAACATGAATAGTGCCGAGATTGTTGCTCTCGGCCGCCCCTCGACTATCCATGTCCACAGGATATACGCCGTTTGCATCGCCACAAAAACCTTAACACATGATAATATCCACTGTTAAAAATATATGGTTAGTCCACCCTGCAATCAAGAATTTGAGTGAATTTGTGTGTTATTAAAGCTTGCTCCTTTTTTGAAAATGTGTTGATAACACAGCTAGACCATTTCTCGATTTATACGTGTCATTCTTGTGCAGGGGCCATGCTAATCTTCTCCGTATCGTTCCAATTTTATCGGATGTCCCCGAAGGGACGATAACATAGCTAGACAATATCATACCAATTCCATTTATTTGGTATCAAATTCCAATTAATTTTCCCAATTCTAACAAAATATTGAAAAATTTATTCAAGAAAAAATTAAAGGGTAAGATTAGAGGAAAATGCATGTGAACCGTCCAAAAAAGGCATCTTTTTTTTTTCAACCCTTCACACAAAACACATGTTCTCACGCGTGCGCCACCTCACATCCAATCAGATCCGCGCACCTAAGAAACTTACCGTGTTGAGGCCGGCGAGGATCGTGTTGACCGCGGGCCTGGCGGCGAGCATCCGGTGGAGGGCGGCGGTGGCGGCGAATCCCAGATCGAACGGCGGGGCCACCGGCGGGACCATGGCGAGCGTGTACTCGACCGCCATGAAGAACAGGACGCAGGCGGCGAAGGCGCAGGGCACGGGGTGGCGGCGCGGCAGGCAGAGCGCGTCCCCCGCCGTCCATCCCAGGAAATGCGGGTTACCGGCGGAGAACGGGGCCGCCGACGGCCTCTTCCTCATCGATTGATCCTCGGCGCCGCCGTGGAGATGGCCGTTGGCTTGCGGTGGCGGCGCGTGCTTGTTTCTGGGGGAGGAACGGAGGCGGGCGGTGGGGGTTACGGCCATCGGCGGCGGGGGTAGGCGGTGGCTGGGCAGTTCGATTTTCCGGAGATTCGCATGGTGGAGATTATTAATAAGAGCGTGACGAAGTTTGCGAGGCTGTGTTTAATGTGGGTGGATTTAGAGAGAGAATTTGCAGGGTGGGGTCGTTAGGGGAGGCGATGCAAATAAGGCAAAATTTGGTACCCATTTTGCTAATATTAAAATAGTGGTGCGGGGTTTGCGTATGGGATTGTACTCTTGTAGCCTCGTACCTGATAATGGGTATTCCAGTGTTACCCTTCCATTCATCAAAACA